ATGATAAACAAAGAGAAGCTGTGAAGATGTCGTTTTAGTGGCAAAGTCTTATTCATTTAATAACGAGGAAATAAACAAAAACACACCTTGGAATGGATCCCCTGTACGGCATGCTTCAATAAAGAATAACTTCGGTTTCCCCTTAAGCGATGCACAGTGTTGATCACTAACAGCACTGATGAACTCCTTCAGTTGTATCGTTTTCCCATCTGAACCTAGAAGTTTATGTTCCGCACCGTGGGTCAGTACAAAGCATACGAAACAGTCATACTGACTGTGATCTTTTTCTGCCACAGAGCGGATTGCTGTCATCATCATATCTGCCGACTTGCTTTCCCAATATAATGTCCTGAAGTGAAACTTTTCGAATAATTTCTTCAAGGGTTCTGAAACAGATAGACCGACATCATAGTTAACGTGTTGTTAATGTCGTTTTCAAGTCGCAGATATAGTTTTATTCAATAAGTATTTGCCATCTGACGTTTCTGTTTTGGTGAGATACTCTCATTTTGACAGATGATCTGACTGCTTATTGGTCCCATGTTTTTTGTTTTCATTGTGTGGCACATGACAAAAGATTCTTTTGCTCATTAAGCATGTCTTCACGCAATATTATCTTCGCCTATTTTTACAGATTCACACAATTTGACGTACAATGTAATACATTTTAATGTGGCCATCCTCAGCAAATACATGTACTACAGTTAAGCATTGAAACATTTAAATGTAATATAGGATGGTGTCTGAACAAGACGCCTTGAAGAATCTAGGTCCACTGGACTGAAAGATTGTCGCAGGAGCCAAAATAATTTATACTGTGGTCACAATTAGTGCCATGTCATCTTACACCGCTTGCAGTGGTAGCTGCCGTATACATATTTTGTTAAAAACACACAAAAATGGTATGGTACAGCAAGACCTCGCACCAAACTCGGGATGAAGATGGGATTAAAGTTAAGGGAGAGATCGATAAAGGGTGGACATTTCAGTAGACTGGGCATGAAAAAAAGTACCTGCCGTTTCTTTAGCGGAGTACCTTGGGGAAAATCCCTCCTCAAAATGTATGTTGTTGATAATGAGGCACAGTCCTGAGAATAAACAAAATACATACATACGAGTAGATGACTGTCTCAAAATACATTCTAACAAGGTCATATGTATCATAATTTGTGTTAAAGGTGTTTTTAAGCTACTTCCATTTAGGGAACGCCATACTAAAACTTGACATGAGGTTTGAAATAACTAACACACTATGATAAAACCTAGAACCTTGGAGTTGTGAATTACACTGATTACCACAGAATAATGTGTTTGGTGGAAATTGGTTACAAAACCCGCTTTATTAAATCCTAGCCAATACCGCCCATGGGCCAGCCAGTGAAGTGATATATATTGTGGCTGAAAGTATTACCCAATATCTGGAGGAGTACCTTCACTGAGTGCAAGTAAATTGAATGTTGATTTCTTCACATCATGGTAAGGTGAAGTTAGTAAAATGCACTTAGGCTTAAGGACAAGTATTTTGATTCAGGGCAACATTACGTTGTCATAAATGCATTTACCTCTCGGAATCGCTTCCATCTTGTAGCGCCCTGGACCTGCAAAATATTTGAAGGCATGGAGTTTGTCGTATGTTATCTCCTTGGACATGGACACAATTGATGCTTTAAAATAGTCAAGGAAACAATATCAAAACGAATCTTGTATCTTACATTTCGGAATCGTGCGACGAGTGAAACATCCAACTTAACATATTTATTTAAGTATCTAGTCAGTCACCACCCCGCTTGCACTGATATGTATAAGTGATACCTTCTTCTGCCGGGGTTGGATTCTGCAAGACAGTTTGTAAACCCTTTTCGGTTGTTCTTCCGATAGCGAGCGCACGTTTGCTCTCTCCATTTTCGTTGGCTTTCACGTCAACATTACCTCCATCAGCCAGACCACCGTCTGACAATAAATAAATATTTCTGTTAGTTTTTGTGTGTGACCATATCAAAGCACGACGAAATAATGGACAGTTTAATAGACGTATGGTAGATGTAAGTTCACCTTAAGTTGAACGATCAGCCGCGCTCGTTCTGTAATCTAGCCATAGCAATCTATCTTTTCTGTGATGCAGATACTGAGGGGTCTTGATGTTATTCCAATGTATGTTGGGTTTGGTGGTTGATGCGGGTGTCCCCCAGGCTTAGACGACAGTCTTCAATGCGACGCTGCTGGTGTAGACAGTGTCAGTGATATATTTGTGGTGTCGTCTACATGTCGTGTGACGTCTGAATGACACGCTCAGATATGTTAGTTAAGAAAGGTACTGTCTTGATATATTTCCCACGAGCGGCTGGTATCCGTTATCCGTTGATCAAAGATGTCTTTCCATCAATTTGTATTACTGTTCAAGAGCCCTGGGTGCAGTTGAGCAGTGTGCAAGACCAATAATTCCTTCTCATGAATAATTAGCTGTTTGAGGAAACGTACACAAAAAAAACGTGCTTTCGGAGCGGATGTGTGAATTGGATGCTGGACTAGTGACACATATGGAAGATATACTGACGTTGACTCTCAGCAACAGTTGCAGGCGGTGGACCAGATGGTTCAGTTCAGCAATCAAAATCCGCACTAACATTTGCTGCTAATTATTACCATGCATATCCTCTTGTTCGTGTCGTATCAAAGTTGATTGCGTTTTCTTTCAGCAATGTCTCTTGCTGTTACTTATAATAAAGGGATAATACAGTGTATAAAGTTCATTTAATAAATAATCCCCCTTTGACCGCCGAAACTAGAGGGCTAGCAGTAGCGGAAGCGACATGGCGAAGCTCGCCACAGAATTGATGCCACTAAAAGCAGTTTTCCCACCCTTTCGCCCAGTAGTGTTATTTGTAGATTGTATATATTTCATGCTTGCTTGGGTATTGGCTTTTATTCACAACAATTCACTTCTCATACATCTGGCCATGGAATTGGGCCTTCAGCACTTGATAAAGGAAAAGTATTAATATTGTGGACCCATTAATTCGGACACCTCCATTTTGATGATTACTGTAAGGAACGTCTTAGCATAAAAAAAGAATCAAAATCGTTTCTGCGGAAGATATCACTGTGAATGATACGGTCCGGATTGACGTGACTTAACTGCATATACGATTGTAATAACGATACGTACCTCCAGCCATTCCGATCGCCACAGCGTCCTCTGTTTTACCGCCTTTAAGGGCTGTCACTCTCATAGTTAGACCAGATGGTGCTGCCGGTGACATAATCATAATGCAAAGTTGTTGATTTATGCGTAGTATGCTCTTGGTGCCTTTAAAACTTGCTATTTTCCTTATGTATAAACAAAGATATATCTCTATCACATCAATACTCATTTCTCGACAGTCAAAAAGACTTAGTGTTCTTGTTTTTCAAGCGACTGTTCAAGTAATTGTATCTTTATCTGCACACACCGGCGTCAGCACCATACCCGTGCTCGTGGGTTTTACCGAAGTGGTAAACGTCTGAGATCTCCTTTACTTCGGGCTTTCCTTCCACATTAGGCTGACATAACTGGAATAATGTTAAAAGCGGCGTTAAACCCAACTCACTCACTCAATAACTCACTCTACATAATGTTTTCCTGATTGAATGTACGCACACCCATACTAGTATCAATATAAAGTGTTCAGACCGTAATCAGTTATCTGTATCAAAATCTACACATATACGACAATGAAACCTACCTCGTGGTTTAGGTTCACGTTGACACATCCACCAGATGAACAAAAATGAGGCACCAATCAGTACGGCACCTATAATAGGGTTCCAGTCCGAAAATTCTAAATTCATTCTGAAAAATAACAAATACAACGTCAGCTTTAATTTCAAATAAAGAATTTATTACCAACAAAAAGGTATTCATCATTGTTCCAATATCAAGACTTGAAAATGGGACAACAGTATTTCCATAATCATAAGAAACTTCTGCTTATAGCAGAGTCTATGGTAGGATTCTGACTGTGTCATAAGCATGTGTTTATAAGTGACTATCAATAAGTGTTCAGACCAAGAGTTCGCGAAAAGGTTAGCGTATCTTGCCCCAACGGTGGCACCTGTCATAAACACATGCAAAGGGAAGTCAAGCGTTCACATGAACAATCACGGGAACAAAGGTTACAAAAAATAGAGACTTGTCCGTGTACTTGTGAAATCATTAGATGTCTTAGGTTCGGCAACACGAAAGCGTATCAGACATCAAGAGCGAACATTAGAATGTTGTGAGCTGCACCATCCGTCAACGCGTTTAAAATGATGTTTGTCCTAAAACATGTTGCAGGCATTTTTTAATAAAAAAGGATTTCTTTTATCCTCTCAGTTGTTGCAGGATGATTCTTAAAGCGTCCGGTGTCACACACAGAACACTGTATAGACCGTCATTCGTCACTCCAAGTTATTGAACATATCCCAGCACATTGTTCTGCCTTGAGTAAATTTTAAAAAACATATGCATTTTTGACAATAAAAGAGAGAATACGAGCGTGAGCCAAAACAATAACGCAAAAGCGAAAGAGCGTCACTGCTACACCGCGATACCAGGTAAACTGCATTGTTGCCGAGGAAACAGCTGAGAGAGAATACAAATAATTTAATATCAGCTTGTTGGTTTCAAGGTTGAAACTTTTTATACAGGGAAATAATAGCAGAATCGGATAGTCCGTGAAGAGTTATGACTATCTTCACGGGTAATCTGACCAGTAGACAATGATTAAACACAATGACAAAGACAAGAAACTCCACTGACATTACACTCTACCTATTATAGTTGTTCAAAACGTCAACGCCAGAAAATGATCAGTCACGGGTATCAGCCGAAACAGATTCCATGGGGCGTACAAGGTAAAATAGGTATATAAATTATATGAAAATAATATGAAATATACAATACAGTTATGTTATAAACGAATGAATATGTCAGAGTGGCTCTATAAGTTACCTCAGATTCGTCTTCAGTGACGGTTTTCTAGCCTGACAGAATCGGGATTATTGCGACTGAAGCAGACACAAATGTGTTCTGATAAGAGGAGCCTGTCCAGCGACTAGAATTGGGAACACCTGTCCACAATTTTATAAAAAACCATTTACTGGAATAAAACTTCCGGGAAATACTAAAAACGTGGTACAGACCTCCATATGAGGATAGGCGACCTGTACATACCATGTGCAATGTGAGCTCCATGTCTTGTCTCAGAATTTTGAGTACTCTCCCTCGAAAATATAGAGGGTTTTTCAGTACTTTTCGAAGTACTAGTCACCAAATCTGTCTTCAAATTCACAAAATGGAGAGGTGCACTGGTAAACCACATAAACCCTCTCACAAAACCTTTAAGTGGTATTCCGAAGCTGTAGAATCAATGAAGAAAAGTACCTTGTTTTTTAATTCTGTTTAAAAAAATATTATTTTAACTTTTAATTTATTTTTTTAAAACAATCAGTCTGCATCACTACTAAACAAACACCAAATCGGATTCTGTACACAAATAACAAAGTAATAGCCATTAGTTACTTTTTTTATGTTTCGTGTTATCGAGGCGATAAACTTGGTATCATTATCCAAAAACATGCAAATGAGATTTTCAGTCAGGTGAGCTTAAACGTGTTCGGCAGACAAACTGTATGTCCTGAAAAAATATTGTTGTGAAAATATATGAATGGTTCGGCTACTACTTCTGCAAACAGCAGTCTTGTATTTTGAAGCAGTTTTGAAAAAGATATCCTGCCCCGAAACTCAAGCCACAGGAAAATAATAAATGGTGGGTGTCTTGTAGCCTTGGTAGATGGACTAACTTATGAATCACTTACCTCTGTATGTGACGACAGGTTGTTAAAATACTACAGAACCCACATGACAATCAGACATTGTTAATACATCCAACAGAAGTATTTAAATGTGCATTCACTGTTCAGTTATCGTCTTTGCAAGCTTGTTGGTATTCTCTTAAAATGAAAGGATCGGATTTGGAAATGAGTGTTGTATGTTCTTATTTTAACATGACTATAGGGTACCCACACAGGGATGCATCTTAGAACCTGAACATGCATTTACAAGATCGAACATTTAGTAGTCGCCATCCTGGACATTAGTGAGTGAGTGAGTTGGGTTTAACGCCGCTTTCAACAGTATTCCAGTTATATCGCGGCGTGCCAGCTTAATGTGAGAGGAAAGCCCCAAGTGATGTAAGTCTCAGACGTTTACCAATTCGGTGAAACCCACGAGCACGGGTATGGTGCTGACATACCTAGAAACATAATCGGGGCGAACCGGGATTCGAACTCACAATCATGGGTTTCTGGCGTGTCCAAGGGACGCAACACTGCACAGCGAATCGCGGCGCCTTAGACAACTGGGCCACCCGTGCACCATCCTGGACATTAACACGACAGAGGAGCGCTTTCGTCGTGAGACGCCCGGGATATTCACGGGACACACATTAAATAAAATGTGTTTGTCCTGTATTCAACTCAGTCAACAGCTGACATTTTACATAACTCTTTTGGGCTGCGTGGATTTCATACAATACCAAGGCCATAGTACAGGTCTTTGAGTCAGCGGATTGCTGTGGAAGTTTTAAAGTTGTAAATTAATTATTTATGATAAGTGTATGATTTAAAGTTATTGGCGTTCTCTGTGTGTATTTGTATCAAAGTAAATGATTAAAAGTATTTAATTCTATCACGTCTATACATACAGTGAAACCTAACCTCGATGTGACCTATTGTGGTTTTAACTTGACATCGCAATCCCCGATTAAATACAGTGCAAATACAGACAAAAGACACTATTTTGAATTATACCTATGTAATGAACAAACGAACGAAAATCTTTGGGTGGCTCTATCAGTCTCGTCAGATTCGCCTTCAGAAACGGTTTTCCAGTCTGACAAATACATACGTTTGTTGCGACTGAAAGACACTCTTGTCGTGGGTGGACCTGGTGCATATCACTGCTACACCTTGGGTGTCCTGTACATGTGTAATGTGAGCCCCACTTGTTGCACGATCAATAACACGGCAGATACTAGCCTGCTCCGTGACCACTGTTGCAGTACATATGGCAGGTAGACACGAAATAAGTCATAGTTCAGTTGATAACATTTTGTCTCCTAAAGTGTGACGGCTGTCAGGAAGTATTTCCAACACTTAAAAATTCATTGACACATTATTTTTAAATTATCGATCTTGCACTGTAAACAAGGCTTGGAATACATGATTCAACTTGAAGCTGGAATAAACGTACGATAGTCCACGTGACTTGCTACTTACCCCTCACTGGGTTCTTTATTACGTTGGTTCACCTGCATTACACATGCACCCATCTGTTACACCTGTCTATATTACATTGGTTCACCTGTATTACACGTGCACCCATCTGTTACAGCTGTCTATATTGCGTTGGTTCACCTGTATTACACATGCACCCATCTGTTACACCTGTCTATATTACGTTGGTTCACCTGTATTACACGTGCACCCATCTGTTACACCTGTCTATATTACGTTGGTTCACCTGTATTACACATGTACCCATCTGTCACAGCTGTCTATATTACGTTGGTTCACCTGTATTTCACATACACCCATCTGTTACACCTGTCTATATTACGTTGGTTCACCTTATTACACATGCATCCATCTGTTACACCTGTCTATATTGCGGTGGTTCACCTGTATTTCACATGCACCTATCTGTTACACCTGTCTATATTACGTTGGTTCACCTTATTACACATGCATCCATCTGTTACACCTGTCTATATTGCGGTGGTTCACCTGTATTTCACATGCACCTATCTGTTACACCTGTCTATATTACGTTGGTTCACCTTATTACACATGCATCCATCTGTTACACCTGTCTATATTGCGTTGGTTCACCTGTATTTCACATGCACCACGAAAGCTGTACTTCTGTTCTTATCACAAATGTAACATTCACGTCGTTGCCGTCACCTGGCTACAAATTGTTTTATTCATTGCAAACTGAAAGGCCGTAGGCCCATAGTTCAACGTATTTACAAAGTATGGGTGTTTCTTCTAACTAACAATGCATGATATATGTACATGTACAATGCAATATTGTGTAATAAAGTAATATTTAAGGTTGACATGAGTATGCAAAACACATTTATATTTGGGTAAGTTATAAACTTCTTTGGAATATACTTGTTTCTTAATTGACGATAGAGTTTACACACAAGCATAAAATTATACCCATTTTCTACAACATTAAGGTTACTAGATGTACAGATATTGTTAGACTTTTAAATATACCTTTATAGATCTTTAAATCATGATATCCTGCTCTGAAATGCGCTAGCGATACTCTATTTTTTTATTGTAACAGATATTAGATATTCTTCGAGTATAAATTGTTGTTTGAAGAGAGAATAGGTATATGTACATTTGCTATTTCTTAGTTTTTCTATCCATATTTGCTGAAAACAATCTTTAGCTCTTTGGAGTAATAATGACATAAACATCTTGACATTTCCAACACTCTGATCCATCCATGCGTATCCAAGGCCTAAACTGAAAAGGGTGATTTTGATATTTGCTGCCCAATTATTTTTATTGCGTGAGTGACTGGCATTTTGATCCAGATAGAACAGCATGTTATAGGCTTTTACTGGGTATCGCGTTAGTTTTAACCAATAATTTACACAGCGCTTTAGCGAAAATATAACCAATGGATACCCAAGTACAATACCATTTGGGGTGGAGGATCGAACCTCAATTACACGTTTACACGCATAAAGATGAACTTTTTCTATACACTCATATTTTCTATAACCCCACATTTCTGATCCATAAAGTAAAATTGGCATTGTCTTTGTATCAAAAATTTGAAAGTATAAAATACAAGGTAGATTATCATATTTTAACAAACTTTGTAGGATTGACATCAACACTTTCTTAGCTTTAACAGATGTAGATTCTAGATACTTATTCCAACTCAAAGTCCTAGTAAACAATATTCCAAGGTAAGTATAAGATGAAACTACCTCTATATGTGCGTCTTTGTATATCCATTTCTCTAATTTTGATAATTTCCCACCGCTTTTAAAAACAAGAACTTTAGTTTTATTTAGATTGATGGACAGTGACCACTTGTCACGATAATTTTCCAAAATATTGATTTGACGTTGAAGACCAATTACCAAATCAGAAAAAAGGACAACATCGTCAGCCAAAAGTAAAAGGAATATTTCTATTAGATCTGGATATAACTGGATGACATTTTTAGATTTTGAATTAATTTCAAGAACAAAGTTCATTTATAAAGAAAGAGAACAAGATTGGGCTTAATACACAACCCTGACGCACCCCCAAAGGGCAATCATGGGATCAAACATACTTGTAAGGTTATTGCCATCGGTTCGTACACAAGTTTTAACTGATTCGTAAATGGCTTTTTATTATTTTTCCGTCTTTGATGCCCACCCATGTTTACCAAATAAGTGCCAGAATCTTTTTCTTTGAACGGAATCAAATGCCTCAGCGAAATCAACAAAACATGCATATAATTTACCTCCCCTTTTTGGGAGATATTTTGCAATTAAAGCCTGTAAAATGAAAACATTGTCCATTGTGGAATATCCAGCTCTAAATCCTGCCTGTTCTTCACAAATGTTTCCCATTGCATCTGACCAAAACGTTAATCTGCCATTAAGAATCATGGTATATAATTTTCCAAAACAACTCAGTACAGATATTCCCCGATAGTTATCAACATTATTCTTATCACCCTTTTTATGCAATGAAACAATGAAGGCAGGGCAGGACAACTTAGGAATGGCCAGGAGTCCGAACTTGACCACACAGAAGGAAGCGAGCTACAAAAACATGTTTTATATCATTGGAAAGCTCTCGAGGAGTCGAATCCAAATAATGTGTGTCCCAGTGTATTCACATGTTCACAAGCTCAAAAATTGGCTCAGAAAATGCATTACTGCAGAAATTTCTGGCCGATTTTTTTTTTTTCTGCAGAAATTTCTGGCAGTATTTTTTTTTTCTACAGAAATTTCTGGCAGAATTTTTTTTTCTATAGAAATTTCTGGCAGAATTTTTTTCTGCAGTAATATCAACCATCAATCTTTGGAGAGTTTAAATTGAATTAAGCAATTGCAGATATTTATCTTGGTATTATATTTACCAAATTTATCAAGAAAAGTTGACGTCACTCGAATTAAGTGTCAGTTTTGTCCGACAAGGAGCGAGTTTACTTTTTTTTAGACACAGACTTTGTAACAGGCTCTTCCCCTGGAAACACATATATTGTAAATAAATATTTTGCCGTTTTCATCAACCTTATCACGTGATGTTCTATAACTGTTGTCTTGTACACTATCCATAGTGTAAGTCAGCTGGCTCGAGGAATGTTCATATAGTATTATCATTAAACAACATACCCTATGCAACAGTTATGTTGCTACCCAGACAAAACTATTTTTATATTCTATATTAAATGTAAAATACAATATTATAAATACAAAACCACCTTTTAAGCGGTAATACCTATCACGCATTAAATAACATATATGAACAACCATGTGATTATAAAGTCTCACGTTGGTTCCTCCGTGCAACTTCATGCCTGACTTACATTCAACAGACTTAGATTCCAGTTGAAGTGTTTAGATGTTTTCATAGAGCTGTCACAGCCGAACCAGATTCAATAATAGGTATTATTCACAGGTGGTCAGTAAGGCGGAAATCATCATGGGACTACAGGGTTATGGTCATGGTTAAAAAGCTTGCTATCACCAATAGAGGCCAGACTGTATATGATTACTGTAATAACACAAGCCGGCCAGTGTTCCTTGATCAAGCATTGCAGGAGCTGGATAAGAAAGACAGAGAGAAGTGGTATTCAGATCTATTTAATGATAAAAATAATTCAAATGGAAACAAGTTAAGAACTTATAGATTATTTCAACAAGACATTGAAACATGCCATTATGTTAAAATGTCTCTACCAAGGCAATATAGAAGTGTATTAGCATCATTGCGTTGTGGTAACCTGCCAATTAATATAGAATGTGGAAGATATACCAAGCCCATCACTCCTCTTTCAGAAAGACTATGTACTCTCTGTGACAAGCAAGCCATAGAGGATGAATTTCATTTTGTTGTAGAATGCAACTTCTATAAAGATATCAGACTATCTATATTTAACACAGCTAAAATACAAGAAACAAATTTCACTGAATTTTCAAATTTTGAAAAGTTTCTGTGGCTTCTTAAAAATGACAACATTCAGTACCAGTTATCTAAATGTTTGCACACTGTGTACAGCAAAAGGCGTTTGTGCTTATCCAAACTACCATAATTTAAAAATATCTGTTTTTAGTGAACAATATCCTTAGGTATAATTCTATGTTCATATGTTGTACATTATCGGTGAAAGAATGTGATTAAGCAGATTAGTAGTTTGTGCTTATCCAAACTACCATAATATAATAATATCTTTTTTTAGTGAACAATATCCTTAGGTATAATTCTATGTTCATATGTTGTACATTACCGGTGCGAGAATGTGATTAAGCAGATTAGTAGTTTGTGCTTATCCAAACTACCATAATATAATAATATCTGTTTTTAGTGAACAATATCCTTATGTATAATTCTGTGTTCATATGTTGTATATTATTTGGGAGAGAAGGTGACTAAGTAGAAATTTTGAAATACGACAGACTGACCAAGGGGATTGGGGACAAACAGAATGACTGGATTAAAGTATATGCATGACTGTATGACATGGTGTGACTTGGGGCGTGTATGGGTGTGTGCTAGGAAGGGTGGGCAGATTGAATACAGAATGGTTGATTGATACGGTTGAACTTGTGCATGATTGAATGTGTGGGGGTCATATTCAATAATGCGTGTAATTGAGTGACCGAGTTGGATTTCTATGACTCGCTGACCTGGGACATGTATAATGGGGGGGGGGGGGGGGGAGGGAGGGTGTGTGTGTGTGTGCTAAGGTGTGTGAACATATGAAGATATTGTTAGTTATAATATTTTATTTATGTATTTTATTGATTGTATAATTTTAGGTGTCTTTTAGGCCAGTAATGGCCAGGTGTATTATGTACACATGACACATTAATAAACTATATTCTTCTTATTATTATTATTGTTCTTTCACCACACTTACGCTTCTCCAAATTTAGAACAGAACAGAAGTTTATTGCTCGTAGGAAAATCACACAGAGTGATTACAGAGCATACATGAGGTTGAATATATACACAACCACACCAACAATAATATATAATAATATATACATACATGAATACATACATGCACCCATAATGCATTTATATAATACATATATGATCTGCATAACTACACACGTGAACACATAAAATATACACATATATTATATTGTAGAGTGAAATTCACAAATTTTAACGTCGCGAGGGCAATTTTCCAGCCATAGATCGACGATCCTATGATATTTAATTATGTAAATAATGTTAAACCTTTTTTACAGAACTGAGCCAGTTTTACTAGAATGGGTTTGTATGAACATTTCATTAATTGATTGTATTTTAGAGTGGAGGGATATTTAGTATAGTAGGCCGGAAGGTATTGTTTTCGAAGGTCATTTAGTCTTGGACATACTTATAGAAAGTGAAATTCATCTCCTATTTGGTCGTTACATAAAGTGCAAGTGTTAAACCATCTGCCTTTCTCGATTGGTAGTCTATGATTTGATGTTCTCAGTTTAAGAATCCAGATTGCTTGTTTCAATGGGAGAGATAATAGATACTCATCTAACTGTGGTTTGTCTTTTAGCATTGTATAATATTTGCCTTTAGATGAAGAACACGCCTTGACATTCCAGCTTTGATAGAAGTTGTCTATTAAGGTTTGTTTAACGTTAGTTTTAAGCCAAGAGAGATTTGGAAAAGAGTTAGTATCAAAGACAAAATTCAAACCAGTTTCATATAAAATATTTTTAATTGAGGTGAGCCATGGAAATGCAGTATTGCTAGTCATTGTGATTTTATGAATTAGCAGGTAGATGCGGCTAGATAGTTTATTAGGCGATACAATTAGTTTGCTCCAAAAAGATATCATTCTTATTTTTATCTGAATCGTTAATGGATGTCTACCTAATTCACCATATACTAGAAAATCGGGTGTTGACTGTTTTAATCTGAGGATAGATTTACAGAACTTAAGGTGAATTCTTTCAATTGTCCTTACATTTTCATACCCCCATACTTCTGAAGAATAAAGAAGTATCGGTTGAACCAAATTGTCGAACAGTTTAAGTTGGCAATCTAAAGGAATGTCTAGTGTTCTTATTCTTCTAAATAAGCTGTACATTGCTTTTGATGCTTGCTCACTTAACTTTTTGATAGCTTTGTGGAAACGACCAGTGCTTGTAAATAAGATTCCTAAATATGAAAACTCTTTAACAATTTCCAAGGGTGTGTTACGAAATATAAAGTTTAGATTTTTAGAGTGGGAGCGTTTCTCAAATATGAGAATTTTAGTTTTGCTGATGTTAACCTCCAATTTCCATTGATGGCAGTATTTTTCAAAAATATTCAGAGCTTTTTGTGAGTCATCTGGTGATTCAGCTAATAATACTGTGTCATCAGCATATAGTAAGATTAGTAGTTTAACGTAAGTATTTAACTGATTGCTGAACTCGTCACTTACTAGCTGCAGTCCTTGGAATTTATTTTCTGCTAGAAATGCTTCTAAGTCTTTTAGGTAAATAGAGAATAAGAATGGAGATAAATTTTCACCCTGTCTGACTCCTATCATGCTTTGGAAAAAAGATGAAATTTTTCCATTAAGAGAAACACACGACTTAATTCCTTTATACATATTATGAATTACACGAAAACATTTTCCTTCAAGATTAGATTTTAACATTTTAAGCCACAAGCTGCATCTGTCTATAGTATCAAATGCCTTACTGAAGTGTACAAATGCACAGAACAGTTTTTTGTTTTCGGCTAAATATATATCTATTAGCGATTTTAAAATAAATATGTTATCCATTGTTGAATGATTGTTTCTGAAGCCTGACTGGTTGTCATTAAGCAGCTTAATTGAATCAGCGAACATTTGTAAGCGACACGAAATAATTGAGGTGAAAAGCTTGCCAAGAAGCTGTGTACACAGTGTTCTTGCGAGTTACAATTACGCGTCCGGTTTGGCGGCAACTTCAAAGAGTGGACATATGGTTGCTCCTTCAGGTAGCTATAATTACCCTCTCTATAATGCAATATCGTATTATCCATTTGTAATGAATGATAGTAACACTTAATCGGATTGGATTCAGTTAAATCTACATTTCTCAAGGTCTCTAACATCGAGATTTGAAATATCTTTCATGTAAATACCTTCTTTGTCATGTGACTTGTATATAATCATGTATATTCAGAATCGTACCTTCGCACAATGTCTTTGCACAATGGCACAAGCAACGTGTTCTCTTTCTGTAAAAAATAGCACTCTTTATTTCAGCCACAGCAAAGATCCCGAACCACGTGCAGTCAGCAGAGTTACAGCGTCTGGTTACCGTCTTGCAGTTACGATACAGGTAAGACGTCAAAATATTTATTGTCTTATTTCTGGAAACGCCGACCCTAGAACGTGGAATTTTGGTAACACGGTTATTTCATATAACAACAACCAAATAACAACCTGTACTCCAAACAGTGAATGTGTGGCTTTGCTGCCATGCGAAACGCGTTTTGTAAGAGTCTAATTTTCTACCACTTTTGATAAAAAAATACGCAAACAAACTTATCTGAAAAGGAGATATCTCCATCCCCTGTTGTGACATTGCGACTTGTATACTGTCTACATGTACATTAGGCAACTTATTGTAGCTGTATGGCGACACTTGTAGTGTAGCTATGTGGCCATGAAGCTATGTGATCAGTGAAAGTAAAAACACGGAAAATTAAAAAATACCAATCCATGCAGTATTTTGATAATTTACATGCGAGTTTTCTATCATTTATAACGTTAGAAATATTTACATAAAAATAACTTTATAGACCCAATGTTTATTAATATAACAAATTGTTGTATTAATGTTTTCCTAAAATAAACATATATATCATCTTCTCTTATTGCCCCATCAAAGCTGGTGCTGAGATAATACCCAAACGACGCATATTGTAGGGCCGTGCCGCCAGACTTCCTGCCAACTTGGCAATTAAATATCCTCGGGTATTGTCACTTCATACGGTGATACATAGTCTCGCGCACGTGGTCGGTGGGTATTGTCTATCAGCGCCACGATCACGTGATCGTTTTGTTAATTACACTGTGTTACGGTCTCGCCGATCCTAAACTTTCAAAGCCTTCAATAAAATTTATGAGATCATTATCTTATCTTTATTCCGACTGAATCATCCTTTATTTCAGACGCCCCCTCACACACACACTCCCAATGCAAAGTCACTGAGGCTTGACCGTTACCAATTAACAGCTGTCAATTAAACAGTTCGCATCTAAGTAGTATGGTATCGAATATATTGAAAACCGTGAGCGTGCTACTTTTTTTGGGGGTGTGGGGGGGGGTGGGGTGGGGGTTAAGGAGGGTGTTGGTTGTTCACAAGGTCACTCGACAAACAGAATGTATACGGGTATTTCAATAATTGTATGATATATTTAGTCCTTGGGCAGCCCCAATCTCAAAACAACAATAAAATCCTAATTCTCACCGACTCCCTTAGTGGACTAAAAGCCCTCCAAAACAAAATTACCAAAAACGACCTAAATTAATAAACCAAACACTTAAAAGCTCCAACGACCTAACAAAAGCAGGCAAACAAATAACCTTCTTGTGGATCCCCGCCCACGTAGGAATTTACGGCAACGAAAGCGCCGATAAAGCAGCTAAATTATCTCTCAAAATACCAGTAATAAGCCTAAACCTACCCATCTCAAAAGCAGAAATTAAAAGTGTAAACAAACAAAGAATAACCAAAAAATGGCATAATCAATATCAAAACTCAAATAGCCAAATCAAAAAAGTGCTCAGAAAACCACTAGCCAAACCTAAAATCCTACACCCCTCTAAAAAAATTGACAGAGTTATTACAAAACTCCAAACAGGACACACGAACCTAAATAACCACCTAAAAAAACTTAAAAGACACACCACAGGCAACTGCCCCCACTGCAAACAACCCGAAACACAGAACACGCACTCATCCACTGCACCCACTACCAAACACACAGAACCACACTACAAACCACCCTCAATCTAAATAAGGTTCCTACTCTAGATGAAATACTAAACCCTCAAAATAAACTAGAAAACTTCAAGGCCCTAGGCGTATTCCTAATCAAAACAGACCTAATTAAGCGCATCTAAAAACTAATTAATCTACCAATCCAAAATCCAATAAACATACAAACACCCACCTCACCCGGCTTACTTAGTTCCCTCCTCCACCCACCTCGGCATTTATTCCAAATTTAAAAATTCCAAAACTTCAATATAAGCAACCCCTAAAACCCCCTCTTGCGTTGCACACACCACTTTCACCCTTCTCGGAATACACTAAATGGTCTGGCCAGGCCCGTGTGCGAAATACGCTACAGTCGGAAAGCGCACGTTAAATCTTCTATATCAGTCAGTCAGACCCCAGTGTTTCATATCATTTTTCCACCAAACTAAAAAAGAATACCCCCCAACTGGATATGTCAAGCGAACTAATTGTCGTTTCGTCTGTCGATTCATATTTTGGAAATTCAAGGGGAACCACTCCAGCTTATGCAGCACACACATTTGGGAAGGTTGCTTCATTAATAATAATACTTCTTACCATGGTTTCACAGTCGTTCGGAACTTTTTTAAGATCTGACACCAGATTATGCTGTCCGAAAATTTATCTATTTTTTTTTAGTGGAGACATAGACTAGGCTAGCTTTACACTAAGTCTTGTACCAGGCTGCCCCCTCTGGGTAGTAGGTCTGGTCTCTCCTTTGTCCTTGGACCCCCTTTCCGATCATAAGGGTTGAGTATCTCTTGCCAATGAAACACGTGTTTACCATCCTTTTTACCTTAGAGCACCCATTTACGACACATGGGGTTAGTTTTGAGTTCGGTTATGGTTTAGAAGTCTCTTGATATAAACATATTTATTTCCATAAAGTGGAGGGATTGGCAAACAAGCAAATTTTGCTTATCTGAATGCCTCTCCCAAACATGATACATAAGTCTCTTTTAACGAATTAATCCAATGTAATTTTCGCAGTATACTCATCCTTATATAAATTTCAGCTTCATGACAGTGTGAACATTGAGTGCCCCATACACAAGTATGCAGTCACTGACAACTTATGGAGTGACCTGTACAAAACGGAAGATGCAGACGACTAGTACAAGCACGCACGCACACACACGCACACACACACACACACACACACACACACGCACGCACGCACGCACATCGCTATATAAGTGCAATTATCTTGGACGCGACATTCAACCCAATTTCAACTCACCTCACTTATCTTACTTTGTTCATGTGTCTAAAGCTTGTGGAATGTGTTAATTACTGAAATGAAAAGCATTTTAATGGTTTTTTCCTATCTTTTCAGAATATGTGCACATAGCTTTCAATGACCAGACGAAAAAAGAATTCATTTCAAGTATGTTGAGAAGAAAACGTAAGTAAAGCACAATATTTACATTCATAATACATTTTATTCCGCAGGCTCTATTGTAAAGTTAAACTCTAGCTGCGTATAGGCTGCTATTATCCATTATATTAGACACTATGGATCCACTCATCTATACATCTATTTTCTTTTGTGACAGGACCCATCACTGAAAAAATCATCTCACCCAAGAAATGAGAATGAAAAGTGCAAAGTCTCCCAAGGAATTGTCTTGTAATAAAGCATGTGAATAAATAATTTTTTGAAATATCTCACGAAATTAGTTTTATTTTTTTGCTTGAAATCATGTGAACTAAACATGTTTGTTTTGAGGAAAAAGGTCATTTGAAGCAACTCCAGGTTAAACTATCCAATGATTGAATCTTATTTCTCCTGAATTAAAATAATTCTGCTAAATATTACTGCAGAAAAAAATTCTGCCAGAAATTTCTGTAGAAAAAAAAAATACTGCCAGAAATTTCTGCAGAAAAAAAAAAATTCGGCCAGAAATTTCTGCAGTAATGCATTTTCTGAGCCAATTTTTGAGCTTATGAACATGTGAACACACTGGGACACGTCTCCTCGAGAGCTTTCCAATGATATAAAACATGTTTTTGCAGCTCGCTTCCTTCTGTGTGGTCAAGTTCGGACTCCTGGCCATTCCTAAGTTGTCCTGCCCTGCCTTAATGGCTACAATAGGCGTACACTCTGCTGTAGCACATGGTCGGACAGAAAGTCAGTCCCACATAGAAGATATACATGACAATATTGTAAGCTATGTAAACTGAAATAGTATCACCTTAAGGATAGAACATCACAATTCAATTCGATCGGTTTCACGGCAAGGTACGAGATGATCTATCTAAATTGATTACATTGTGGGTGATCAATACCACAAATCTCACAACATTATCATCAGGTCAACTTACTTTTCAGGTGATTAAAGATGTTCTTGATAATGGCCCGTAGGTTCTTTGAAAGTCCTTTGACTGTCTGGAGACGATCTGAAGTTGCATATGGCCATTGTGTTAGAAATATGGTGAACTGTGTGACCTATACTTAACCTCCATTCATGGATTCATCAATTCATTATCGATTCATTCAACAATCCCAAGGAATAAAAAATGTTTCTCGAGAAAGTCCAATAACCTAAAAGCGACAAAACAAGTCAAATGTATGCCGACAAAACGATAATCAGGGGCGAAACTACCATTGTAGCAGAGAAGCAATTGCTTACACCGAAAAAAGCACAATTTTTGTTTACATCTAAAAAATGCAACATTTTTTAACAAGTGATCCTCAATTTACCATCTAAACATTAAAGTATTAATTCAAGCTCTACACGGTCAATAGTGATATTTGTTGTCTAACTTGAAAATCGGAATCCTTCCCACTTTAGAATTTCTGTGGTAGATGGTTTGTGACGAAAGCAAACCGCGCTCACACAGTTAGTTTATTATAATGATAGGTCGGCTCGCGTTAAAATATGAAGATCAAATAACCATCACATACCATCACATTCTACAAGTGAACACATAAAAGTAATGTTATCGATTTGTTTTAATGTTAAAATTTCATTTGTCATCATAGATGTTTTTTGAATGAAAGTCGAAAATGTGTGAAACACGTATTTACTAATAAAAATTATTTTTTTAAATTACTAATATTTGTTGCAAATCATATCTAGCCTCAAAATGCAGGAAATAGCGTTTAAGCGCATCTAATTTTAGCGGGTCCTCGTGAAATTAGATTTGTCTACATGTAAAGTTAGCCTAGTTGCGCCCATGATAAGTATGTGTTTATGAATAATCATCAAATAGTGATGATACCAGGTGTTCGCGAAGAGGTGAGCACAAACACGTGCATAGGCAACAAACACGGGAACACATGGTTCTGCTCAAAATGGAGAATTGCATCAGAAAACTGTTTGAAAACTTACTAAGGCCTTGAATGTTGTAACACTGATCAAATATCTTTTCAGCAAGAGTCGTGTGACGCTCTTTGTATGTTCTATTGTATCTTAAAGAAATGTAGTACACCACAAGCGACATCGACCTACTTTAGGTGCATATAAAATTTCATCGCCGGGGCATAATCTGTCAGACTTAAACATAAACCCAACCCCTTCGATTCCATGAATATCTGAGGGTGAGTGGTAAAGCCCCTCTCAATACACAAATGCTCCTGAGTCCTCTTTAAGAAAATACATCGACTCATTTACACATAATCCACAATTAATTTTTCATCTGCACACAATGTAAATCTATATATAGGATGATGAGCGAGATTGATGTTCTGTGGCGTTTAAAATGTTATCAGTACGTTGTGTAAGTGAGATCAACATACCTGACTACTGTCTCCCGAAGCAACCCTGAATAATATCGTGTGTTAGTCCTTTGTAAGTCCTGAGTAGGTTCGGAGTAACCTGAGTAATTCTTATGCACGTTCCGAGAAATGCGAGGCTGTACGAAACAAAAGAAGTTTTGAATTCTGAGAAACGCCCTCGATCAAACATAATGTCAACTACAATGTCCTGAGCTATTCCCAAGGAATTGTATCTATTTATAGATATGACGTCATGTTTCTGGGTGCAATTGTCTGAATACAAGTGTCAGGGAACAGGTGTCTGGGTACTTTTACCATTAAACGCAAAGAAGAGGATTACGTATTCCCAGGTAAGGCAGGACATGCATTAGGGTAAGCTAGGAAATAAACGTTCCTCAAATTATCAGTTTAAGTTTATCTGTCTGTCAGTATAACCTGCCATTTCTATTTCATCCTAACCTTGGGCCATTTCTATATTACCTAATACAGGGTCATTTCTATATCACCCTTACATTGGGTAATTTCTATATCCCCCTTACCTTGGATCGTTTCTATATCATCCTAACAGCAGATTATTTCTATGTCACCATAACCTTGGTCATGTCTATATCATCCTTACCTTGGGTCACACACGTTCATTGTTGGCGAGGGACTGCGGGGACTGTTAATTGGATCAAATAAACGGATTGATTGATTGATTAACTGATTGATGAAAGCCTTGTGTTTCAGGATGGACGTCTACACATTTCTTCTGGTCTTAGTGGGCCTTGTTGGGATGATGATCCTTCTTTACAAATGTATGGATAACCGAGGTGAGGGATCAACTGGAGTAGCTCACGCGACAAGGAAGACACCATGAAAATACAACATCTATATCACATCATTCTGCAACAATATCTGTCTGTAACAACATCTATCTGCAACAATGTATATACATCTATCTGCAACAATGAATATATAACATCTTTCTGCAACAATATCTGTCTGCAGCAACATCTATCTGAACAATGAATATATGACATCTTTCTGCAGCAACATCTATCTATCAAAATATGTATTCACAACACCGTCATCAACTCAACTGTCCTTAATAATTATCACGTTCACCATACATATATATGTACAATGTTTGTGTTATGTGTCTTGAATCTGCAGTATTGTAAACAAGATGGGTCAAGATGAGTATGTGTATCATATTCGTGTTCTGTGTGTTGAATCTGCAGTATTGTAAACAAGATGGATCAAGACGAGTATGTGTATAATGTTCGTGTTCTGTGTCTAGAATCTGCAGTATTGTAAACAAGATGGATCAAAATGAGTATTTGTATCATATTCGTGTTCTGTGTCTAGAATCTGCAGTATTGTAAACAAGATGGGTCAAGATGAGTACGTGTATCATATTCGTGTTTTGTGTGTTGAATCTGCAGTATTGTAAACAAGATGGGTCAAGATGAGTATGTGTATAATGTTCGTGTTCTGTGTCTAGAATCTGCAGTATTGTAAACAAAATGGGTCAAGATGAGTATGTGTATAATGTTCGTGTTCTGTGTCTAGAATCTGCAGTATTATAAACAAGATGGATCAAGACGAGTATGTGTATAATGTTCATGTTCTGTTTATAGAATCTGCAGTTTTGTAAACAAGATTGATCAAGATGAGTATATGTATAATATTCGTGTTATGTGTCTAGAATCTGCAAAATTATAAACAAGATGGATCACGACGAGTATGTGTATAATGTTCATGTTCTGTTTATAGAATCGGCAGTATTGTAAACAAGATGGATCAAGATGAGTATGTGTATAATGTTCGTGTTCTGTGTCTAGAATCTGCAGTATTGTAAAAAAGATGGATCAAGACGAGTATGTGTATAATGTTCGTGTTCTGTGTCTAGAATCTGCAGTATGGTAAAAAAGATGGATCAAGACGAGTATGTCTATAATGTTCGTGTTCTGTGTCTAGAATCTGCAGTATGGTAAAAAAGATGGATCAAGACGAGTATGTGTATAATGTTCGTGTTCTGTGTCTAGAATCTGCAGTATTGTAAACAAGATGGATCAAGATGAGTATGTGTATAATGTTCGTGTTCTGTGTCTAGAATCTGCAAAATTATAAACAAGATGGATCAAGACGAGTATGTGTATTATGTTCGTGTTATGTGTCTAGAATATGCAGTAGTGTAAACAAGATGGATCAAGATGAGTATGTGTATAATGTTCGTGTTCTGTGTCTAGAATCTGCAGTATGGTAAAAAAGATGGATCAAGACGAGTATGTGTATAATGTTCGTGTTCTGTGTCCAGAATCTGCAGTATTGTAAACAAGATGGATCAAGACGAGTATGTGTATAATGTTCGTGTTCTGTGTCTAGAATCTGCAGTATTGTAAACAAGATAGATCAAGACGAGTATGTGTATAATGTGCGTGTTCTGTGTCTAGAATCTGCAGTATTGTAAACAAGTTGGATCAAGACGAGTATGTGTATAATGTTCGTGTTCTGTCTAGAATCTTCAGTAGTGTAAAGAAGATGGGTCAAGATGAATATGTGTATAATGTTCGTGTTCTGTGTCTAGAATCTTCAGTATTGTAAACAAGATGGATCAAGATGAGAAGGTGTATAATGTTCGTGTTCTGTGTCTGCAGCCAAGGAGAGAGCAGTAGCTGCCTCACACAAGACTGACGTGGATACTGTTGGGAAGGACTCCGAGGGGCACGTGGAACTTGCCTCCGCCACGGGACTGAGAAGTGGTAAATATACGTATACCTTCACTCCAACGGTTAACTAACTACCGCAATAACTGACGAAAAGACCGATCCAGTCCCGACCGATAAGCCTCGCCCACAAGCTGCCGTCCTCGTTTCAGGCGTTGGGGGGGGGGGGGGGGGCAACCGATGTGCTATTCGCTGTGGCGTCACAGCCGGCGAAACGTGAATGCGATGAATTTGGCTTTGTTAAGAGAGTTATACATGATCTGTTTTGGGTTCTATTTTAGGTGTCAAATTGCATATCGAGAGTGAAAATGAGTCATAAGTCCGATGTAATGGTGTATCGGTCAATGAGGAAGTCTCCATGGCTGAAAGTTAGAAGCGTGCACTACATCGAAGCACTCATGTCAGACAGGGCATACTATATTGTCAATTTACAGCACGTCAATAAAATATTATTCATCCATGGGCGGGGTAACTAAATTTTGTGTTTACTTTCCATCGTAATTTAAGTGCATGGAAAGTACTGGAAACCGTAAACACAAGCACAAGTTACCACTCACGTGGATATCTAGCAATAGATTGTCAACAGTTACATTGCCCACGTTTTTGTCTGGTGCTCTTAGTTAAACCAATATAACCTGAAAGGCATAGATTTAGTGGGTCTTTTTAATGAATAAACACAAAAGAATAGTGCAGAATAGTTCAAAGCTTTAATCAACAAAATTACCTGTTGACATCATGACTGTTACTTAGTGAGAAGAAATAATTCTTTTATTGCTCCAGAAACCACATGCCTACAGGACATAACACTAAATATTATATATTTCATTTTAGAAATCACATGTGAAGTGACAGGTATTACTTATGCATGAAACAACATACATTTAAATGCAAATATCAGGTAGCTGGACACCTGGAGTTCATTAGATATTTTAACAAATATCCCAAGTATGCCTCGCAAATACTGGTGTGAACATGACTTTTCCTTGAATATAAAAATACACACAAACGGGGATTCAGACCAGTTCCTTTTCCAGGATACTGACTGATTGTCATCCATAATGTCCTAAAGTTTTTCTAAAAGTTGGTAAAGTGATATCAAAAGATATAAACCCCACTTGAAAATGTCCTGAAGCCAGCAGAATCACTGTGAAGTAAATATGAAGCTCATTCTCAACCTAATCATAACGAAAACTTGAACAATATGTAAATAACCAACATCCTTAATAAACACTAGCTCTTGCTCAATTATCAAATATTGACAATCTCCTCAAATCAAGGTTAAGAATTGCATTTTGGGTAAAATACATTTCAACAGTCACAGTTATATATGAAATGTGTTAAGAATTATATAATTTATTCTATATCAGAATTGATCAGGCACTCTGGATAATGCCTGATCAAGGAGTGACAAAGGATACTGCCTTTATTTTTACAAATTCTTTGTATCTTGAAATAAGTACCATGCGTTATCATACAGGTAATCACTTTCAACACTATCTTTTTTTAAAACATATTATTTAACAAGATTTTTAAAATAATATTATGTCCTGTAGAAAGAGGCAACAAACTAAGTTTTATACCAGGTGGATGTTGTACCATCAAACATTTAGTGTTTGTTAGTACAATTACAACATATTAATCTTACTTTTATACGGCATCAATCAAATAACTGGTTGGAATAATTATAAATAACTTGATTAGATTATAATTTATATCATTACTTGACCATGTTACTCTGAGTTCATAAAAAAACTTGCTATTATTTCCAGAAAATTAATTAAAATGACTCGACACTTATAATCGTTTTTAACAGTTATATTCATTCACTAAAATGTATATCAGTAAGCTTCCACTGCCAGTGAATAAGTTATGTTGCAAACAATTCTAAACCAATAATTTTCTTATATCAAATTGGATTTTTTGTATTTCAATCCGTCAAAATATTTCAGTAATTCACTTCCTTCTCACGAAATGTTCCTCTTCTTTCTAACCTTGAAGGTATGATTCCATTTCACAAGAATAGCATCAGGTAATTCATTACTGCATGGGCCCTGTCTCTTCATAGAAATGCTGAAATAGTCAAAGCATGATTTAATGGGAACTTATATGAATTAAATTGAAAGATTTTGTGGAACGAAAACCATTGACAATGATTATATTTCTATGTCTAAAGATTTATTGCTGCTACAGTAATTTGCAATATTGATGGATAGGCTTATTGTGATTTTAAAACTTGATCATGTCTAAAAATCTGGAACAAAATAAATCATATCTGAGAGAGAGAGGAATACAATTTCCACTAGATTGTACTTCAATGTAAATAATAGTAGATTTTGTTCTGCACTAACCGTAATCAGATCACTGTCATATTTGTTTACAATGTATCACGGCCGTCTCGCGTGTCACATTTCAACAATATGACCTGCTAACTGAATGCCCGATGTTGCCAAAATACATAATTCAAAAACGATTTTTTAGTTACAAGCATTATGCTTGTTTATGACATGCGTAAAATCATAACTTGCTAGGTGTTGTCATTTACCCGTATTGAGTATGCATATGTGCAGAAGTGCGAAAATTCGTGCAAATTCTCACCTTCGAGCAGACGTGGGTCCCGTGGAAGATGGTGGCGACATTTAACTGATGGTGTGAGGCCAACCGCACATCTTGATCAGCCTCAAACATTTTTCTCCCGACCCTGTGGTAAAGGCATACATCTTATCCAAGCGATACGTAATGAATATCGCGAGTGAAAATAGCACAAACCGTAGCCATTTCGCTTCGCGGGTATGGTTTGACCCCGGAAGTAAGTCTGACAAATCCACAAAGCGCGCCCGGCCTTCTGATTGGCTCAAACTGACGATTTTGACTTTTGATTGACAGACTGGATCGGTCTATTGCCGCAAACATGATTTGACTTGTGCCCACACTGATGTCATATTAGGTTAAAGAATCTGATTGCTTCACAGCTGAGTGTCATCATGAAGTCTCATGCTAGTCTTTGGGCATCTTGTTGAACAGGTCATCTGTCAACTATTGATTAACCTGCCCCAGATCGAGCAGGTCGCCGTGATATATGTGATATATCTGATAAAGCTGTGATATAAACGTGATGTAATTGTGATATAAATGTGATGTAGCTGTGACATAAACGTGATGGGTGTGATGTAGCTGTGATGTAGCTGATATGTATAGCTGTGATGTAGCTATGGTATGGCTGTGATATAAATGTGATGTAGTTGTGATATAAACGTGATGTAGCTGTGGTATGGCTGTGATATAAACGTGATGTAGCTGATATGTAGCTGTGATATAAACGTGATGTAGCTGATATGTAGCTGTGATATAAACGTGATGTAGATGTGATGTAGTTGATATGAAGCTGTGATATAAACCTGATGTAGATGTAATGTAGGTGATATGTAGCTGTGATATAAACGTGATGTAGCTGTGATATAAACGTGATGTAGCTGATATGTAGCTGTGATATAAACGTGATGGAGCTGTGATGTAGCTGTGATATAAACGTGATGTAGCTGTGATGTAGCTGTGATATAAACGTGATGTAGCTGATATGTAGCTGTGATATAAACGTGATGGAGCTGTGATATAAACGTGATGTAGCTGTGATATAAACGTGATGGAGCTGTGATGTAGCTGTGATATAAACGTGCTGGAGCTGTGATGTAGCTATGTAGCTGTGATATAGCTGATATATATATATATATATAGCTGTGATGTAGCTGGGAAATAGCTGTGATGTAGCTGTGATATGGCTGATATATACAGCTGTGGTATGGCTGCGATGTAGCTGTGCTTGAGTTTGGATATAGCTGTGATGTAGCTGTGATGTAGCTGTTACGTAGCTGTGGGTCATAACCGACTGCAGAGAGAACCCTGGTCCCCATTCACTCAGTGAGGAATGTATACGAGGGTTTCTGCTGCAGATAACGTGGGTGATGCATTGAAGACGATGAAGCAAATAGGGAACATGAAGACAACGGGAATGACAAGGGGGTCGGCGAACACTGTCGAGGCCACCGGAGTGGACATCCGGAGAAGACAACAGCGTCCAGGGGAAGGTCAGCAATACATGCATCTGAATAATTACATTTCATGATAATTAATTAAGTAAGATTACATTTTCCAATCAACAACTGCTCAAAAGAGTTTAGACCATGATAGATCTTGTCAAAGGCATGTGTGACAGTGTGTGAGAGGGGATGGAGTGGGATGGGGAGTTGGGGTAGGATTTGAAAGAGCGTCTGGAAGGTTGGACAAACTATTTCTAGCTTCGCTTACGAGTAAGGCAGTCAGTCGTAACATCGGAACATTTCACTTAACTTCATTGATTTGATGACAATTTCTCTTTTCAAAATATAATAAAATAACATTTCGTTATTTGAAGACAAAACCAAACCAATGCCAAGAGCAACCACAACCACATCTGTTGAGGTCACAGGTATGACTGATGGAAAAGCCGGTACAGTGATCGCAGTGGGTGTCCGCCAGTGATGACAGTGGGTGTCCGCCAGTGATGACAGTGGGTGTCCGCCAGTGAATACAGTGGGTGTCCGCCAGTGATGACAGTGGGTGTCCGCCAGTGAATACAGTGGGTGTCCGCCAGTGATGACAGTGGGTGTCCGCCAGTGAATACAGTGGGTGTCCGCCAGTGATGACAGTGGGTGTTCGCCAGTGATGACAGTGGGTGTCTATAAGTGATGACAGTTGGTGTCTATAAGTGATGACAGAGGGTGTCCGCCAGTACACACAAGTGATCACAGTTAGTGTAAGCAAGTCATGACAGTGGGTGTCCACCAGTAGATGCAAGTGATGACAGTGAGTGTCCGCCAGTAGATACAAGTGGTAACAGCAGGTGTCCGCCAGTAGATGCAAGTGATGACAGCGGGTGTCCGCGAGTAGATGCAGGTGGTGACAGCAGGTGTGCGCCAGTTGATGCAAGTGGTGACAGTGGGTATCCGCCAGTAGTTGCAAGTGATGACAGCAGGTATCCCCCAGTAGATGCAAGTGATGACAGCAGGTGTCCGCCAGTAGATGCAAGTGGTGACAGTGGGTGTCCGCCAGTAGGCGCAAGTGGTGACAGTGGATGTCCGCCAGTAGATGCAAGTGGTGACAGCAGGTGTCCGCCAGTAGATGCTAGTGATGACAGCAGGTGTCCGCCAGTAGATGCAAGTGGTCACAGTGGGTGTCCGCCAGTAGTTGCAAGTGATGACAGCAGGTATCCCCCAGTAGATGCAAGTGGTGACAGAGTGTTCGCCAGTAGATGCAAGTGATGACAGGGGGTATCCCCCAGTAGATGCAAGTGATGACAGCAGGTGTCCGCCAGTAGATGCAAGTGGTGACAGCAGATGTCCGCCAGTAGATGCAAGTGATGACAGCAGGTGTCCGCCAGTAGGCGCAAGTGGTGACAGTAGGTGTCCGCCAGTAGATGCAAGTGACGACAGTGGGTTTCCGCCAGTAGATGCAAGTGATGACAGCAGGTGTCCGCCAGTTGATGCAAGTGGTGACAGTGAGTGTCCGCCAGTAGATGCAAGTGGTGACAGCGGGTGTCCGCCAGTAGATGCAAGTGATGACAGCGGGTGTCCGCCAGTAGATGCAAGTGATGACAGCGGGTGTCCGCCAGTAGATGCAAGTGGTGACAGCTGGTGCCCGCCAGTAGATGCAAGTGGTGACAGTGGGTGTCCGCCAGTAGATGCAAGTGGTGACAGTGGGTGTCCGCCAGTAGATGCAAGTGATGACAGTGGGTTTCCGCCAGTAGATGCAAGTGGTGACAGTGAGTGTCCGCGAGTAGGTGCAAGTGATGACAGCAGGTGTCCGCCAGTAGTTGCAAGTGATGACAGCAGGTATCCCCCAGTAGATGCAAGTGATGACAGCAGGTGTCCGCCAGTAGATGCAAGTGGTGACAGCAGGTGTCGGCCAGTAGATACAAGTCATGACAGCAGGTGACCGCCAGTAGATCCAAGTGGTGACAGCAGGTGTCCGCCAGTAGGTGCAAGTGATGACAGTGAGTGTCCGCCAGTTGATACAAGTGGTGACAGCAGGTGTCCGCCAGTAGGTGAAAGTGATGACAGTGGGTGTCCGCCAGTAGATGCAAGTGGTGACAGCAGGTTTCCGCCAGTAGATGCAAGTGGTGACAGTGGGTGTCGGCCAGTTCATACAAGTGGTGACAGCAGGTGTCCGCAAATAGATACAAGTGGTGACAGCAGGTGTCCGCAAATAGATACTAGTGATGACAGCAGGTGTCCGCCAGTAGATGCAAGTGATGACAGTGGGTGTCCGCCAGTAGATGCAAGTGATGACAGCAGGTGTCCGCAAGTAGATGCAAGTGGTGACAGTGGGTGTCCGCCAGTAGATGCAAGTCATGACAGTGAGTGTCCGCCAGTAGATGCAAGTGATGACAGCAGGTATCCCTCAGTAGATGCAAGTGATGACAGCAGGTGTCTGCCAGTAGATGCAAGTGATGACAGTGGGTGTCCGCAAGTGATAACAGTTGGTGTCTGCCAGTAGATGCAAGTGGTGACAGCGGGTGTCCCCCAGTAGATACTAGTGATGACAGTTGGTCTCCGCCAGTAGGTGCAAGTGAAAACAGGGGGTGTCCGCCAGTAGATGCAAGTGATGACAGCAGGTGTCCGCAAGTAGATGCAAGTGGTGACAGTGGGTGTCCGCCTGTAGATGCAAGTCATGACAGTGAGTGTCCGCCAGTAGATGCAAGTGATGACAGCAGGTATCCCTCAGTAGATGCAAGTGATGACAGCAGGTGTCTGCCAGTAGATGCAAGTGATGACAGTGGGTGTCCGCAAGTGATAACAGTTGGTGTCTGCCAGTAGATGCAAGTGGTGACAGCGGGTGTCCCCCAGTAGATACTAGTGATGACAGTTGGTCTCCGCCAGTAGATGCAAGTGATGACAGTGGGTTTCCGCCAGTAGATGCAAGTGGTGACAGCAGGTGTCCGCCAGTAGGTGCAAGTGATGTCAGTGGGTGTCCGCCAGTAGATGCAAGTGATGACAGTGGGTTTCCGCCAGTAGATGCAAGTCATGACAGTGAGTGTCCGCGAGTAGGTGCAAGTGATGACAGCAGGTGTCCGCCAGTAGTTGCAAGTGATGACAGCAGGTATCCCCCAGTAGATGCAAGTGATGACAGCAGGTGTCCGCCAGTAGATGCAAGTGGTGACAGCAGATGTCCGCCAGTAGGTGCAAGTGATGACAGTGGGTGTCCGCCAGTTGATACAAGTGGTGACAGCAGGTGTCCGCCAGTACGTGAAAGTGATGACAGTGGGTGTCCGCCAGTAGATGCAAGTGATGACAGCAGGTATCCCCCAGTAGATGCAAGTGGTGACAGAGTGTTCGCCAGTAGATGCAAGTGATGACAGGGGGTATCCCCCAGTAGATGCAAGTGATGACAGCAGGTGTCCGCCAGTAGATGCAAGTGGTGACAGCAGATGTCCGCCAGTAGATGCAAGTGATGACAGCAGGTGTCCGCCAGTAGGCGCAAGTGGTGACAGTGGGTGTCCGCCAGTAGATGCAAGTGACGACAGTGGGTTTCCGCCAGTAGATGCAAGTGATGACAGCAGGTGTCCGCCAGTTGATGCAAGTGGTGACAGTGAGTGTCCGCCAGTAGATGCAAGTGGTGACAGCGGGTGTCCGCCAGTAGATGCAAGTGATGACAGCGGGTGTCCGCCAGTAGATGCAAGTGATGACAGCGGGTGTCCGCCAGTAGATGCAAGTGGTGACAGCTGGTGCCCGCCAGTAGATGCAAGTGGTGACAGTGGGTGTCCGCCAGTAGATGCAAGTGGTGACAGTGGGTGTCCGCCAGTAGATGCAAGTGATGACAGTGGGTTTCCGCCAGTAGATGCAAGTGGTGACAGTGAGTGTCCGCGAGTAGGTGCAAGTGATGACAGCAGGTGTCCGCCAGTAGTTGCAAGTGATGACAGCAGGTATCCCCCAGTAGATGCAAGTGATGACAGCAGGTGTCCGCCAGTAGATGCAAGTGGTGACAGCAGGTGTCGGCCAGTAGATACAAGTCATGACAGCAGGTGACCGCCAGTAGATCCAAGTGGTGACAGCAGGTGTCCGCCAGTAGGTGCAAGTGATGACAGTGGGTGTCCGCCAGTTGATACAAGTGGTGACAGCAGGTGTCCGCCAGTAGGTGAAAGTGATGACAGTGGGTGTCCGCCAGTAGATGCAAGTGGTGACAGCAGGTTTCCGCCAGTAGATGCAAGTGGTGACAGTGGGTGTCGGCCAGTTCATACAAGTGGTGACAGCAGGTGTCCGCAAATAGATACAAGTGGTGACAGCAGGTGTCCGCAAATAGATACTAGTGATGACAGCAGGTGTCCGCCAGTAGATGCAAGTGATGACAGTGGGTGTCCGCCAGTAGATGCAAGTGATGACAGCAGGTGTCCGCAAGTAGATGCAAGTGGTGACAGTGGGTGTCCGCCAGTAGATGCAAGTCATGACAGTGAGTGTCCGCCAGTAGATGCAAGTGATGACAGCAGGTATCCCTCAGTAGATGCAAGTGATGACAGCAGGTGTCTGCCAGTAGATGCAAGTGATGACAGTGGGTGTCCGCAAGTGATAACAGTTGGTGTCTGCCATTAGATGCAAGTGGTGACAGCGGGTGTCACCCAGTAGATACTAGTGATGACAGTTGGTCTCCGCCAGTAGGTGCAAGTGAAAACAGGGGGTGTCCGCCAGTAGATGCAAGTGATGACAGCAGGTGTCCGCAAGTAGATGCAAGTGGTGACAGTGGGTGTCCGCCTGTAGATGCAAGTGATGACAGTGAGTGTCCGCCAGTAGATGCAAGTGATGACAGCAGGTATCCCTCAGTAGATGCAAGTGATGACAGCAGGTGTCTGCCAGTAGATGCAAGTGATGACAGTGGGTGTCCGCAAGTGATAACAGTTGGTGTCTGCCAGTAGATGCAAGTGGTGACAGCGGGTGTCCCCCAGTAGATACTAGTGATGACAGTTGGTCTCCGCCAGTAGATGCAAGTGATGACAGTGGGTTTCCGCCAGTAGATGCAAGTGGTGACAGCAGGTGTCCGCCAGTAGGTGCAAGTGATGTCAGTGGGTGTCCGCCAGTAGATGCAAGTGATGACAGTGGGTTTCCGCCAGTAGATGCAAGTCATGACAGTGAGTGTCCGCGAGTAGGTGCAAGTGATGACAGCAGGTGTCCGCCAGTAGTTGCATGTGATGACAGCAGGTATCCCCCAGTAGATGCAAGTGATGACAGCAGGTGTCCGCCAGTAGATGCAAGTGGTGACAGCAGATGTCCGCCAGTAGATGCAAGTGATGACAGTAGGTGTCCGCCAGTAGATGCAAGTGATGACAGCAGCTGTCCGCCAGTTGATGCAAGTGATGACAGTGAGTGTCCGCCAGTAGGTGCAAGTGGTGACAGCAGGTGTCCCCCCAGTAATGCAAGTGGTGACAGCAGGTGTCGGCCAGTAGATACAAGTCATGACAGCAGGTGACCGCCAGTAGATGCAAGTGGTGACAGCAGGTATCCCCCAGTAGATGCAAGTGATGACAGCAGGTGTCCGCCAGTAGATGCAAGTGGTGACAGTGGGTGTCCGCCAGTAGATGCAAGTGATGACAGTGGGTTTCCGCCAGTAGATGCAAGTGGTGACAGTGAGTGTCCGCGAGTAGGTGCAAGTGATGACAGCAGGTGTCCGCCAGTAGTTGCAAGTGATGACAGCAGGTATCCCCCAGTAGATGCAAGTGATGACAGCAGGTGTCCGCCAGTAGATGCAAGTGGTGACAGCAGGTGTCGGCCAGTAGATACAAGTCATGACAGCAGGTGACCGCCAGTAGATCCAAGTGGTGACAGCAGGTGTCCGCCAGTAGGTGCAAGTGATGACAGTGGGTGTCCGCCAGTTGATACAAGTGGTGACAGCAGGTGTCCGCCAGTAGGTGAAAGTGATGACAGTGGGTGTCCGCCAGTAGATGCAAGTGGTGACAGCAGGTTTCCGCCAGTAGATGCAAGTGGTGACAGTGGGTGTCGGCCAGTTCATACAAGTGGTGACAGCAGGTGTCCGCAAATAGATACAAGTGGTGACAGCAGGTGTCCGCAAATAGATACTAGTGATGACAGCAGGTGTCCGCCAGTAGATGCAAGTGATGACAGTGGGTGTCCGCCAGTAGATGCAAGTGATGACAGCAGGTGTCCGCAAGTAGATGCAAGTGGTGACAGTGGGTGTCCGCCAGTAGATGCAAGTCATGACAGTGAGTGTCCGCCAGTAGATGCAAGTGATGACAGCAGGTATCCCTCAGTAGATGCAAGTGATGACAGCAGGTGTCTGCCAGTAGATGCAAGTGATGACAGTGGGTGTCCGCAAGTGATAACAGTTGGTGTCTGCCAGTAGATGCAAGTGGTGACAGCGGGTGTCCCCCAGTAGATACTAGTGATGACAGTTTGTCTCCGCCAGTAGGTGCAAGTGAAAACAGGGGGTGTCCGCCAGTAGATGCAAGTGATGACAGCAGGTGTCCGCAAGTAGATGCAAGTGGTGACAGTGGGTGTCCGCCTGTAGATGCAAGTCATGACAGTGAGTGTCCGCCAGTAGATGCAAGTGATGACAGCAGGTATCCCTCAGTAGATGCAAGTGATGACAGCAGGTGTCTGCCAGTAGATGCAAGTGATGACAGTGGGTGTCCGCAAGTGATAACAGTTGGTGTCTGCCAGTAGATGCAAGTGGTGACAGCGGGTGTCCCCCAGTAGATACTAGTGATGACAGTTGGTCTCCGCCAGTAGATGCAAGTGATGACAGTGGGTTTCCGCCAGTAGATGCAAGTGGTGACAGCAGGTGTCCGCCAGTAGGTGCAAGTGATGTCAGTGGGTGTCCGCCAGTAGATGCAAGTGATGACAGTGGGTTTCCGCCAGTAGATGCAAGTCATGACAGTGAGTGTCCGCGAGTAGGTGCAAGTGATGACAGCAGGTGTCCGCCAGTAGTTGCAAGTGATGACAGCAGGTATCCCCCAGTAGATGCAAGTGATGACAGCAGGTGTCCGCCAGTAGATGCAAGTGGTGACAGCAGATGTCCGCCAGTAGATGCAAGTGATGACAGTAGGTGTCCGCCAGTAGATGCAAGTGATGACAGCAGCTGTCCGCCAGTTGATGCAAGTGATGACAGTGAGTGTCCGCCAGTAGGTGCAAGTGGTGACAGCCGGTGTCCCCCCAGTAATGCAAGTGGTGACAGCAGGTGTCGGCCAGTAGATACAAGTCATGACAGCAGGTGACCGCCAGTAGATGCAAGTGGTGACAGCAGGTGTCCGCCAGTAGGTGCAAGTATGACAGTGGGTGTCCGCCAGTTGATACAAGTGGTGACAGCAGGTGTCCGCCAGTAGGTTAAAGTGATGACAGTGGGTGTCCGCCAGTAGATGCAAGTGGTGACAGCAGGTTTCCGCCAGTAGATGCAAGTGATGACAGCAGGTGTCCCCCAGTAATGCAAGTGGTGACAGCAGGTGTCGGCCAGTTGATACAAGTGGTGACAGCAGGTGTCCGCAAGTAGATACAAGTGATGACAGCAGGTGTCCGCCAGTAGATGCAAGTGATGACAGTGGGTGTCCGCCAGTAGATGCAAGTGATGACAGCAGGTGTCCGCAAGTAGATGCAAGTGGTGACAGTGGGTGTCCGCCAGTAGATGCAAGTCATGACAGTGAGTGTCCGCCAGTAGATGCAAGTGATGACAGCAGGTATCCCTCAGTAGGTGCAAGTGGTGACAGCGGGTGTCCCCCAGTAGATACTAGTGATGACAGTTGGTCTCCGCCAGTAGGTGCAAGTGATGACAGGGGGTGTCCGCCAGTAGATGCAAGTGATGACAGGGGGTGTCCGCCAGTAGATACAAGTGATGACAGCAGGTGTCCGCCAGTAGATGCAAGTGGTGACAGTGGGTGTCCGCCAGTAGATGCAAGTCATGACAGTGAGTGTCCGCCAGTAGATGCAAGTGATGACAGCAGGTATCCCTCAGTAGATGCAAGTGATGACAGCAGGTGTCTGCCAGTAGATGCAAGTGATGACAGTGGGTGTCCGCAAGTGATAACAGTTGGTGTCTGCCAGTAGATGCAAGTGGTGACAGCGGGTGTCCCCCAGTAGATACTAGTGATGACAGTTGGTCTCCGCCAGTAGGTGCAAGTGATGACAGCAGGTGTCCGCCAGTAGATGCAAGTGGTGACGGCAGCTGTCCGCCAGTAGATGCAAGTGGTGACGGCAGGTGTCCGGCAGTAGATGCAAGTGGTAACAGCAGGTGTCCGCCAGTAGATGCAAGTGGTGACGGCAGGTGTCCGCCAGTAGATGCAAGTGGTGACAGCAGGTGTCCGCCAGTAGATGCAAGTGGTGACAGCAGGTGTCCGCCAGTAGATGCAAGTGGTGACAGGGGGTGTCCGCCAGTAGATGCAAGTGGTGACAGGGGGTGTCCGCCAGTAGATGCAAGTGGTGATAGTGAGTGTACGCCAGTATGTGATAGTGATGTCAGTGGGGGACAGCGGTAAATATTTTTTGTTAACTGGGGCGTATGTTCTTTGAATGATAAGGAATGTTTATGCAAAGATTGCTCTGTCCTTGGAGTTGAGAAACATGTTGTATGTAATTTAGTTTGGATATGTTATTATTGACTGTGATAACAATGCACGTTTGTGGCTATTGAAACAATATGTAAACTGGCTGAGAACTCATTGTCAGCGAAGAGGTGACCTTAACACCGCCCAAGTGGCGGATCTGTGTGCATCTGTGATATGGTTCATGTGGCTTTAAAATCAATAAACAAATTGAATCTTGAATATCTTAGTTGTGAATAACATCCATGTTGATTATATATCAGTAGCGGATAACATCAACAGATAATATCCATATTGATCTGACCTCAGTTGTAGATAACATCCATATTGATCAGATCTCAGTAGTGGGAAATATCCATATTGATCTGATCTCAGTTGTGGATAACATCCATATTGATCACATCTCAGTTTTGGGGACAACATCCATATTGATCACATCTCAGTTTTGTGGATGATATCCATATTGATCTGATCTCAGTTGTGGATAACATCCATATTGATCACATCTCCGTTTTGTGGATAATATCCATATTGATCTGATCTCAGTTGTGGATAACATCCATATTGATCACATCTCAGTTTTGGGGACAACATCCATATTGATCACATCTCAGTTTTGTGGATAATATCCATATTGATCTGATCTCAGTTGTGGACAACATCCATATTGATCACATCTCAGTTTTGTGGATAATATCCATATTGATCAAATCTCAGTAGTGGATAATATCACTATTCATCAAATCGCAGGTGTGGATAATATCCATATTCATCATAACTTAGTTGTGGATAATATCCAAATTGATCAAATCTCAGTTGTGGATAATATCCATATTCATCATATCTTAGTTATGGATAATATCCATATTGATCAAATCTCGGAAGTGGATAATATCCATATTGGTCAAATCTCGGAAGTGGATAATATCCATATTGTTTACATCTTAGTTGTGGTTTGCATCCACATGGGCTGGACGTTATGATGTTCCAGATATTCATTCCACACAATGTATGATTTGACTCATTAAAAGCAGTACTTCAGGATATATTTCCTCATTTAGTCAAGTACTTTTCAAAGATGTGTGTGCAGTAGATAATCTTCGTGTTTATGTTGTCTTCTTGTAGAAAACGCAAACCTAAGAAATATCATGGAGAGCTGTTTTAGAGTTTGGAGGCTACTGTGCATGGTCTTCCGTCGTTTCTTCGGTGAGTGCAGAATGGATTCGTTCCTTCAGAGCTGAAGGGGATATACTTCAGAGTAGGAGGCATTCAATAGAAGTCGGGGTTCCTTCAATGCACTGAGAGTTTCCTTAAGAACAGAAGGGGTTTCCTTAGTCTCGTTGGAGCTTCCTCCAGTCCATTTGGGATTTCCTTCAGTGCTGCAGGGGTTTCCGTCAGTGTTGCAAGGGCTTCCTTCAATCCAGTAGGGGTTTCCTTCAGTGATGTAGGGGTTTCTGTCAGTGCCGCAGGGGTTTCCGTCAGTGTTGCAGGGGCTTTCTTCAGTCCAGTAGGGGTTTCCTTCAGTGATGTAGGGGTTTCCGTCAGTGTTGCAGGGGCTTCGTTCAATCCAGTAGGGGTTTCCTTCAGTGATGTAGGGGTTTACGTCAGTGCTGCAGTGGTTTCATTCAATCCAGTAGGGGTTTCCTTCAATGATGTAGGGGTTCCGTCAGTGTTGCAGGGGCTTCCTTCAATCTAGTAGGGGTTTCCTTCAGTGATGTGGGGGTTTCCGTCAGTGCTGCAGGGGTTTCCTTTAATCCAGTAGGGTTTCCTTCAGTGATGTAGGGGTTCCCTACAACGCTGAAGGGGTTTCCGTCAGTGTTGCAGGGGCTTCCTTCAATCCAGTAGGGGTTTCCTTCAGTGATGTGGGGGTTTCCGTCAGTGCTGCAGGGGTTTCCGTCAGTGGTGCAGGGGCTTTCTTCAGTCCAGTAGGGGTTTCCTTCAGTGATGTGGGGGTTTCCGTCAGTGTTGCAGGGGCTTCCTTCAATCCATTAGGGGTTTCCTTCAGTGATGTGGGGGTTTCCGTCAGTGTTGCAGGGGTTTCCTTCAGTCCAGTAGGGGTTTCCTTCAGTGATGTAGGGGTTTCCGTCAGTGCTGCAGGGGTTTCCTTCAATCCAGTAGGGGTTTCCTTCAGTGATGTGGGGGTTTCCGTCAGTGTTGCAGGGGTTTCATTCAGTCCAGTAGGGGTTTCCTTCAGTGATGTAGGGGTTTCCGTCAGTGTTGCAGGGGCTTCCTTCAATCCAGTAGGGGTTTCCTTCAGTGATGTATGGGGTTTCCGTCAGTGCTGCAGGAGTTTCCTTCAATCCAGTAGGGGTTTCCTTTAATCCAGTAGGGTTTCCTTCAGTGATGTAGGGGTTCCCTTCAGTGCTGAAGGGGTTTCCGTCAGTGCTGCAGGTGTTTCCTTCAGTGATTTAGTGTTTCTGTCAGTTATGTAGGGGTTTCCTTCAGTCCAGTATGGATTTCCTTCAGCTCAAATGGATGCCTTCAGTGGAGTAGGGTTTTTGCAGTGCAGTACGGTTAACTTCAGTCCAGTGTGGATTTCCTTTTGTTCAAAGGGAATTTCTTCAGTGCAGTAGGGTTTCCTTCAGTGCGGTAGGGTTTACTTCAGTCTAGTATGGATTTCCTTTAGTTCAAAGAGGATTTCTTCAGTGCAGTTGGGTTTCCGTCAGTGCAGTAGGGTTTACTTCAGTCTAGTATGGACTTCCTTTAGATCAAAGGGAATTTCTTCAGTGCAGTTGGGTTTACTTCAGTTTAGTAGGGTTTCCTTTAGTTAAGTGCAGTATGGGTTCCTTCGGTGTTGATATTAATTATCACATGAAACAAATGCTGCATTCTCTACAGAATCCATGGTTATTTCAGGTGGAACCGATGAGAAAAGAAAGGGTGACTGATGAGTGATACGTTCATCCCTGGAGCCCCGCGTCGGAGTGTACATCTCCTGGGGATTCTGGTCATTTAACCTACTGTGTTTTGAAATTCGATCCCAGAAGTGGGATACGACCAGAACTGGGATAAACAGTCCACAATTTCGTAAAACCCCATTTACTGCGGTAATGCTTTCGGTTAGCTCTAAAACGTATGGCGATATATATGTGGAATATGGTTTAGTTTATGTTATTTCGGGGGACCATACTGAGTATGATCTTTTCTATATATCTTCATGTTCCGTTCCCAATAAATAACCCACATTAAATTCTTTACTATAAATTCGAAACATCAAATTATGTTACTTGTTTGAGGTGGCTTAGTTCAGTTGTTAGTTAGCTTCGTGGAACAGCCGTTGTGAGCTCGTCTTGCTAGGGTTGAAACAAGGGGCGCTGTCGATTGGTTTCTTACTCCATGGTGAACAGCATTCGTGAGTTTTGGGAATTCAGGTGGTCCAATAGAGTTCTGGGGTCATTGTTGGGGTGTAGGATGACAAAGGTGTCATCAACTGTGCGGAACCAGCAGACGGGAGTTATTGGGGATGTTTCCAGGGCTTTTTCTTCAAGAATCAAGAATCAACCGTGACCAAGGCTATTACACAACCCGGCCTACCATCAACTCATCAAAGACCCAAATCAGCCATAATCCCGTTGTTTATATTACTGTCTTCATCCTTTCTTTACGTCACTGACTTCACCGATGATTGGCATCACTACCCGTGTGTATACAAAACACCCTCTCTACTCCAGTATAACAGTATCTACTCTACTGCATAAACATTGCCTCCTACTTGTATATATACTTGCCAACCACAATCTGTAAACTGCAAAAAATCAAATATCTTCACCCCTAAACTCAAAATACCCAAAATAGACACAACGCTAGCTAACCAAATAAATAAACAAACCGACCCAAACATAGCT